CGGCAACATCCAGAACTTACTGCAATGCACACCAACTGCTGCACATGCTGCTGGCAGACTGAAATCCCCGCAATACCCCTTTTACCGCCCAAGCAAACCAACTGCTGCACTTGCTGCATACGTACCACCACATAAGACCATGCTTGTTCATAGATCTGAACGCCCAGTCCTTGCGCCTGCGAGAACCGCTGTCGTCGTCCTCACATCACTCGCAGATGAACTCAGACCCTCAGCAAGTTCAATTATGATGCCACACTGCCGTGCTTGAACTGCGCAAGGGCGGCAACATCCAGAACTTACTACAATGCACACCTGCTGCTGCACATGCTGCTGGCAGACTGAAATCCCCGCAATACCCCTTTTACCGCCCAAGCAAACCAACTGCTGCACTTGCTGCATGGTTACCACTAATTAAGTTACCACAGCCTACCACCATGCCCATGTGAAATCTTGCTCGCTAATAGATTTGAGGGCCCAGTCCTTGCGCCTGCGAGAGCCGCTGTCATCGTCATCATCCTCACTTACACCCTCATTACAAGTTGAACTAGGACAGCGACAGAATGTGAAAGACCTGCGGCTGTTGAGCCCACCCAGCCACGCTTGCGCAGCACAGCAGCTGCACCAGTTTCATCGTACGGCCCAAGCACATCAACTGCTGAACATGCTGCGGGATCAGTCAATTCCCTTGCAGCTGCACAGGGGTCGATAGAGCTGGGTGGCATTTTGGAGGTTCCAATCTTCTTGCGCAGAAGGGAATCTATTCATACATAGCTCGGGGCCTCGGCCAAGTACCACCCGGAGAAGACACTGGGACCCGCGCATGAACAATCATCAGAACACTCTAAACCGAAAGCCCCAAACCGAGGGCAAGTACAAAGCGATTTATGAGATCTGTCCTTGCGTCGGCGCCTCGAAGAACCATCGTCCTCAACAACAATCACTGCTAATTACACGGACTCTCTCAGCAAATACGAGCATGGTGGCGCTCAGTACAATCCTGTATGATTGTCAAACAGTTGCGAGGTGCTGCTCGTGGACGGCAGTTGTCACAATAGCGCCGTTCTCGCCTAAACTACCACACCCTACCACCATGTGAAACTATGCTCGCCCATACTTAGATTTGTGCGCGGAGTCCTTGCGTCTGCGGGAGCGCGAGCCGCTGTCATCGTCATCGTCCTCACATACACCACGCGCAGCAAGATGGACACACTCAGGTTCAGTTCAACCATTCATGAAAGTATGTGAGAACATCTGCGCTATTTTGGACCATCACCCAGCCATGCTTTGCACGGCACAACAGTTGCAACAGCCACACTGTACTGAGCCAGCAAAGTCTAATACAACAGGAGTCAGATGTCTGCTTCATGCTGGCCTTGTAATCATCCTTTCAAAACCTATCAAGCCGACAAAAGCGCTATAGCAACCCCATCGACAAGCATCATGCAAGCCAGCAAACTCAGGAGAAACCTAGTCCTTCTTTCTGCGCTTGTCATCATCCTTCTTCTTGCCCCTGTGATCATCGTCCTCACAGATCATTCTGCAGCACATAGCTAACGAAGCCACAAAAAGTGGCCGTGAGGCAGTAGCGTTGCAGAGCGTTTTGGTCTGTGAAAACTACTTAAGCGCCAGCGGTCTGCATCACGATGCTGGTGTGTATGGTAGTTTTTTAGAATAGGGGACCCCATATAGACCCCAAAATACTATGGAAATCTATCAGGCTGTCACCTGACCTAGGGCAATCTGTCATCGACAAGCCACATACGGGCCTTGCCCAGCAAGGCAACCATGGGATTACATAAGTTTTTTTAGGGGGTTTATATTGGGGTTTGTAGAGGAATTGTATCAACTGCAAAGTGCGTCCTTCTTCCTGCGCTTATCATCATCCCTCTTCTTGATGCCATGGTCATCATCCTCGCCAGTCAGATAACACCATGAGACCATGCTGGCGAACCCAAGGCAGCCAGTAGTCAGAGCTCTGCTTTATGCTGGTGGTGTTGATCCTTGAAAACTTCAAAACCTATCGAACCGCCGCCCGACCTATCGCAATCTCCGGTCTACGGCATTGTGCCAGCCTTGTCCAACAATAGGCTTTAGGTATTTTGGGGTTATATAGGGATAATGGAAAAGAAAATGGAAACTACTATACTGTAATAAGGTATATATTGTGGTTGTATAGGGAAACTGGAAACTATTATACTATAAATAATGGGTATACATTGGAATTATATACGGATAATGGAAAAGAACATGGAAACTACTATATAACCAGTTTAAGGTTAGGGGTTATGGTTTCAAGGTGAGTCCTTCTTCCTGCGCTTGCCATCATCCTTCTTCTTATCGTCCTTGTGATAAGCCAATTGCAAGCAAATCTCCAACACACACACAAACGCAAGACGAGGTCGCGCGTAAGCTCTGTCCTTCTTCTTGTCATCGTCCTGCGAACACAATAGGCGCTCAGGCGCTCAACCCTAAACCCTATAAACCCTAAACCCTATTGACCCTCTAAACCCCAAACCCTATAGACCCTGTAAACCCTTAACCCTATAGACCTTTAAAACCCTAAACCCTATAAACCCTATAGGGTTTAGGGTTTATAAACCCTATAAACCCTAAACCCTATAAACCCTAAACCCTATAAACCCTAAACCCTATGAACCCTATAAACCCTAAACCCTAAGCCCTATAACCCCTCTAAGCCCTGTAGACCCTCTTCGGGCCTCACAGCCGCAGGTTTCCTGATACTCTTCCAGGATGCCCTGGACCTCCGAGAATTTCTCCAGGCAGCCGACCTTAGCCCACATGAAAGGGGGATTTAGGGTTTAGGGGTTATGTAGGGGATTAGGGGTTTAGGGTTTAGATATAGGGGATTATATAGGGTTTAGGGATTTAGGGATTTAAGGTTTGGAGTTGAGAACTTCTCCAGGAAGCCTACCTTAGCCAACAGAACCCTATGAAGAAAAAGGGATCCGTTTTACATGAACAGAAGGAATCCCATACCGCAAAAAGTATCAGGGAGCCCTACCCTGAACCCTAAACCCTGAGGCAGCTACCATGCAAGACAGCTCCTCATGGCCCTTGCACTTCAGGCCGTCATCGCAGAGCTTCTTGCAGTAGAACTTGGGCTTGCCTCACATCAGCCAGAATCTAAACTCCTTCAAGGGGTTATATAGAGGATTCTATGATATAGGATTTAGGGTTTAGGGTCTAAAGTCCTCAAAGGGGGTTATAGGGATTCTATAGGGGACGACTACATGGGGATATTCATGGGAATGCTAGGAGTTTAGACTATGGCTCACATCAGCGCAGCGCTGCATGCCTGCATGTAACACATCCTGCCACATCCAGCTCACTCCTTGCCCTAAACCCTAAACCCTAAGCGCTAAACCATATACTCCAAGCCCTAGGCCCTGAAGCCTAAACCCTAAACCCCAAGCCCTAAACCCTAAATCCGGCCCAAGCTGCGGCACTCGCAGCTTCGGCCGCGGCGCGAGCTGTCAGCGCGGAAGTGCAGGAGGCCAACGTCCTCATTCTCCAGGAGCAAATGCTCAGAGCAGACGCCACACCTGGAAGTTTCCAAAATAAGGGGACCCCAATATAGACTCCAAAATATTTTCGTTCGTATTATCGGGACCCCTAAAAAAAAGGTACCCCAAAAATTTTGGGAAACCCCCACCTGCAAAATTGGCGGGTGATCTTGCGAGCATCGCGGTCGCAGTTAGCGCTGCATTCTGCCCCACCGAAGCCAAGGTCGCAAATGGCACCACAGAACCTCGTTGGATGCATGCACACTGCACGAATATCATCCCATTATAGGGGTTAGATATGGATTATATTGGGGCTATATGGGGATAAATGGAGATAATGGAAAATGAAATGGAAGCTACTATATTATAGCAGTTTCCAATTTATTTTCCATCATCCCCTTATATAAACGCAATATACCCCTGTATAGAGCCCGGTGCATACGGCTTATCTCTCTTCATCTATCGATCGTTCTGGACCCGTCATATCTCTTCGCAACCAAATTCGCGAACAAGAAGCCCGTCATCTTCGCAGATGGTGCCGTCACCTGGAGGGCCGGTAGTGGTGTCCATGGATGGGGTGGTGCTCTCATCCTCGGTGGTGGTCTCCGCTCCATTGGTAGTGTCAGGTTCAGGGGTGGTCTCCTTCACGGTGGTGGTCTCCTGGATCGTAGTCTCCTGTGCAGTGGTCATAGTGGTGGTAGGGGTGGTTGTGGGGGCCATGGTGGTTGTGGTGGTGGGCGCGTCTGTAGTAGTGGCTGGGGCCGTGGTCGGTGTTGGGCCACTGCCACAGCTCTGGCAGTATGCTTCCATGAGGCCACCGAGGCCGGGTGAGCTGGCCAGCGCTTTTGGACATTTCTGATTATCCACGAAGCACGACCCCCTCTTGCTTGGAATTCGGCAGAGTCCATTTTTGCAGATGATCTTTGCCTTGTCTATCTTGCCTATGAAGCTGTCAAGGTCATTGCACATTTGCTGGTCGACAACTTCCATGATCGCCTTGTAGCCATCGTCACTGTTGCAGGCATCCAGGCACGTGGCGCTGTCCCACGCTAGAGTGGTCTCGCTCCCCTCACAGTACTCCGCGCAAAACCTGCAGTGCAGGGCAGAGCCATCAGGGCACTCTACTATCAAGCTCTGAGACTACATGAGCTATGGTCTACCAATTACCAAGGCACCCCGATCGTGTGCATATGGCCGGCACGGGGTAGGGGTGGCCATGCTGTTGATCGCTAAGCCCAGCTGCAAGCGCAAGCTGGCATAGAGAGAGCAAGAAGGCACGCTGGGGCACCATATTCACTCCAGACATGGTCGTCTGCAGTCAGCAGCTGAGCCAAGACACTGCATCATATGGCGCATGTTGATAACTCAATCCAGAGTGGCCAGAGCCTCCGTCATTGCCAAGCCCTCTCATGCCGCGATCCTTGCGTATTCTTGCCATTAATTTCAAGACAAAGGGTCTGAAGGCCTTGAAGGCAACACAGGGGCTCGCGGGTGGAAGGACATGATAGGTCATCCACCTGCAACTGTACAGCTGTACGAGGGTGAGCACTGCACCGCAGCCTTTTCGGCCATCAGGCTAAATGAGGGCACAAAACTCTGGGAGTCTAGGAGCAATCAGTCCGCGGAGACGGAGATCTCCTTGCCGTCAAGGATGAAGCGGAAGGATGGGAAGCCCAGCAGCGCGGAGCCAATGAGTGGCACACCGCTTCCAGCCGTCTCCTCTGGCACCACCAGGGAGTGGAAGCTGACCCACTTGCTGCGGTGGTGGTGTGCCTCTGGCTTCAAGTTGGTAGGATACATCCCTGCACCCCGTGGCCACGAGGAATCTGTGGGAAGATGGGCACCCTGCAAGACCATGAACCAGAAGTTCTTCATCTTCACGAACCCATGCACCGCTGCCCTGTTGGACAGGCCCCAGCTCGGATCGAAGCGGACCGTCGACTGCTCGTCGCTCCTAGGAGCCTGGGGCAGCTCGTTCTTGCGGTGGTAGACGTTGACGGCAAGGGGGTCAAAGAGCACGTCCGTGGCTGTCTTCA